CTTTTGAGCAGAGAGCGGCACAGAGCGTTCTTGCGCAGCGCTCCAGGCAGCTGCTTCCAGCGCACGGTCCATTCTCAAAGTGGCGCAACCAAAAAAACTATAATTGGCACACGATCGTTCATGTCCGCACATGTTCTCTATTTTCTGTCTTATTTGCGCCTGAAGCGCTCTGCTACTGCGCAGCTCATCACCTGTGCTGAGGTGATTTCACCTCACTGACGCAGCAATGAAACGCGCTCTCCGCTTTGCGGTCAGGAGATCCCTTTGATCTGCTCAAAAGTAACTGATGAGGTGAAAAAGTAAGAATCCAGGCAGCAGTTTTTCTGTATAGTTTAGAGGAGATGCAGGAAGATGAGAGACAGACAGGACAGGAAATAGTTCAATAAAAACAAGAAAACAAAACAAAGTGTTGAAAAGTAAAATGTAGGTAGATTTATCTCCACTACACGTTTTTACCTGTATAAAACAATAAGTTACACACGTCATATTTATACATCTGATACAATTCAGATCACCTTCAAAACTCAGTCACACACCCAGGGCCGTTTCAAGACATTTTGGGGGCCAAGGCAAAATGACCCCACCCACCCCCACCACCCATAACTGGGCTTCCCAGAAGCCTCTGTGTAATTCATACCCTCTCCAGGAGTATTAGTTATTATTATTATTATTCAGTGTTTATAAAAGCTTCTCAGACATCGCTGACATGTTATCAGATGAAAAACTAAATTATCAGACATGCTGTCTCATCTGCTGCTTTTCTAAACTTGCAAAAAGTAACAAAACCATTTGAAAGCCACTATTTGTGGATTCTCCGAAAGTTCATGGAGTGTGTGACAACTTATTTTTTCATTGATCCTATCGTCTAATCTCACAGCTGAAACAAGCATCCTTAATAATCTGTGCACAGGAAGCTTACCGATGCTGTAGTAAAACAAAAGGTATAATAATTTATTATTAATAAAACCTTGTTGCAGCACTAAAGCAGAAAAATGAGATTTTGCAATAAATATGCAAAATATTTACATATGAATTGTTTTGGAGCCCTTTTATTGGCAGAATCTGATATTAATTTAGTTCTTACAAAAAAATGGGTCCCAACGTGGTGTGTGTGGCGTTGCCATAGTGTGACGTCATAGGCACAGATCCCCTGTCCTCTTGTTTGGAAATGGAAGTATGGTCACCCTATATTAAACAAACTGTCCACCCGGGCTTTTGCACTGCACAGAGACGCTTCGCTGCCTATGACTGAACGTCAGTTGAGAGTCAGTCTCATGCAGACTGACCAATGAAGAGAGGGCCTCAAGTTAAGACCCTCTCCTCATTGGTCAGTCCACACGAGGTGGGTCAAAGGTTACCCTGAGCGGGTTACGTGATGTCAGGCATTCAAGTATTGAGTATATTTACTGCATATTACAGTAAAATATTCTGTATGTGGCCATATTGTGGTGATCCTTGGGTCGTGACGATGGGGCCCTTGAATATTGTTGCCCAGGGTACAACAAAGCGTTAATCTGGCCCTGCCAGTGGGTGCCTCTCAGAGGCCTCGAAAACCCACGGCTTATCAGCCGCTTGGGACAAAGCCATAAATGGGCCGGTGGGGTCCTGAATGGGTTGTAGCGCCGTAAAGTGGAGTAATTACAGCTTCATATTAATTGTGTTTTTTCCTTCACACACACACACACACACACACACACACACACACACACACACACACACTAGTGACATCTATAGGAAGTCTTTGTGCCGAACACTTCAAGTTTCAAAAACAAGGCCAATTGAAGCGGCGCGGCTCAAAGCCGGTACTATTGTAGGAGAACACATTGAGTTTTGATTGGGGACAATGGTGTTTCTCAAATTTCTAGCAAAGAGAAAGCCATACTCCATCTGTGATCTCAATGAGCGCCTATTCATGAGTTTCCCTCTTTTCTGCGCCATTCGGTGGTGGAGAAAAGGAGGCAGATGTGGAGGGATAGAGCAGGGGAGAGTGCATTTTAATTGGTTGCAGTGTGTTGGTCTGACTCTCTTACGCGCGCGAGCACACACACACACACACACACACACACACACACACACACACACACACACACACACACACACACACACACACACACACACACACACACACACACACACACACACACACACACACACACACACACACACACACACACATTGGAGATACAGCCTATGCCACTCTGTGCAAGATGGAGAGCCCAATAATCTCGCTGTGTTGATGAATACTTGTAGCCCATTCATTAAACAAAGATAATCCCTGCCAACCTACCTCGGGGGCAGAAAAACGTATTTTGTGTGTGTGTGTGTGTGTGTGTGTGTGTGTGTGTGTGTGTGTGTGTGTGTGTGTGTGTGTGTGTGTGTGTGTGTGTGTGTGTTATGGGAGATGTTGAGATTTTCTGAGAGCTGGCCAACAGCTTTGGCAGACAGAGATTCTTCAAATCTTTGAAATATTCATATGCCACATGGGGTTGGGGGGAGGGGGGGGGTACCCTCAAGTACCTCTTCAAGCACCACAAATCCAGCTAAAATTTGTTTTATCAGTTAGACTTTTGCACTATAATTTAACACAATTTACATGCAAAAGTCACGTGTTTGCACATGGTTGGACCTCCCGCATAAGGAATCAATCAAAGTTATCAGAAAATAACCCCGAGTCCTCGTGCGTTGCCCCCTGCTCCCCAGAGCGAGCCTTTAAAGGAATGCATTTATCCCGATGCATTTCCCCGGCGCAGTGGAGCTGGTGTGAAGTGGCAGGTTAACAGCCTCTCTTGTCCTCCGCAGCCCGGGGCCCATGCTCGCTGGTGCCCGTCAAAGCGTGTAAATACTTGAGTGAAACCCCCCTGTCCGTCTCTTTTCTCCGCGGCCCCTTGTCTAACTGCTACTCTAACCTCTGCCTCTGTGTGTCAGAGCGCGGCTGCAGCGGCGGGAGCGCACGGGAGGGGATCCGGGCCCAGGAGGGGCAGCGGCGGTGGGAGAGGCCGTTAGAAAGCCACACCGGGGTGCAGGGGCAGCGGAAACATGCTGCTACATATGTTGGGTCAAGCATGGCCTTTGTTGTGATCTTAAAAGGGTGTTAAAACCCCACTCGTCCGTGGCCTTCCTGAAAGAAATGAAAGCACGGCGTAGTTTTTTGATGCATATGGGCCTAATGAAGTGGTTAAAAGAATGTTGGGTTTTCTAAGTGCTCACAGTCATTTTTAATTGCGAGGGGGACATTTTTAATTGGGCCAGGAGGAATGATGGGGATCTTAATCCCTGTCATAATGCATATTTCTAAACTTTCGGTTAAGAACTGTTTAACTAAGAAAAAAACACGAACTCGAATTTTTTTGTTGTTGTAACAAGTCAAGTTCATGACATTCTCTGCACCATCCTGCATTTCTGAAATAAATTAAAGGCCTTTTTTTATTTCCCATCTTCAGGCGACTCTCCGCGAGCGCTCTATAGCAACTATCACTTTGAAGGAAGAACGGGCGTTTTCTAGCGAGATCATCGCCCATCGTTGCGCCCATACAGATAATTACTTTGAATGTCAAAAAGATGTAGTTTTAATATCGTCTCTATTAGCCTGTTGGCTAGGTAATTAAGGTGCAGATGACAGCGACGAGGGAAACAGATGGCATTTGCTTACAGTGATTCAGAAAGTAAACAATGAGCCTGGGAGGAGAAAGAGGAGCCAGAGGCAGCTCTGCACGCACTCCTGATGCTGCTGCAGCTCTCCTCCAGCAGACATTTATCTAGGCTTCAAGTTGTTGATTACTATCATCCTTCTCTATTGTTGATTAGTCTAAAACGTATTATGACGATTGTTATCATTTAAACTCCTCCATCGGTGGGAACAGGACAGGTGTTTCAAGCGCGTTGTCCCTCCGCGCGCCCTGGACTTTCTCATCCCTGGAAGCTTCACGGTGTTATCACAGGTTAGTTGATATGAGAGGATGAGGCCGCTATACAGAGCGGCAGTCTTCATGCTATAGAGGCTTAAATATGGCGCACAATAACGCGCAAACTATTTTCTGCTTTCTTTTAAGCAAAATAATTTTCCACGTGAAAATTAGAAGCTCGGGAATACCTTTCACAAAGATAATTTTGATTTGTATTATTGTTGCTTAAATTATTAAGGAATGCATTTTCTTTGCATTTATTTTGTTGTTTAGGGTTAGGGTTAAAAAACTCATATAAAAAACAATAAGAATAAACCAAAAATATGTCTTGCACATCACAAATTGATGCAACAGGTCATTAAATGAAAAGAAACGCTTACCTAGAATTGCATTTTTATTTCCGTTCTAATAAACTAAGGTTTGTTTAGAGCAGCTTTTTAAACTCCAAATTGGGACAAATAACATTTATTTTATCGATTCCCAAACGTTTAAAAAACAGCTGAAAAATAGGCCAGTTAATAATAAATCAATTATTTACTTGTTAAAGAATAAAATAAACAGACAGAGATCCACTGTGGTCCGACCAAAGACTGTAAGAAAGGGTCCGACATGTGAACCAATGCAAAAGTGTCTTATAATCAAACATAATTAGTTAAAATTTTTCTAATTAAATTATAAGACTCGTTTAAAAGTAAATAATTACAACAGCCGGTGTCGTTAAACGTTTTGCTGATTTCCCTGCAGCCGACAAAAGGTTCAGCTGTTTCTCTAACAGCTTCCTGCCGCCAATGAAGCCTCAAATAGTCTTTTTTCTTTTCTTAAATCAACAACATAAATTATACTTACCTTAAAGATGAGAATGGCCACGAGTCAGCTTTAACATAAAGTCCTATTTTTTATGTTTTTCCCCATAAAGATTTAGTTTTTATAGATGCAAAAACATCTCAATGATAAATAATATTTTTTCTAAAACATGGACAAACTTCGCATAATGACGATTCCTCTTCTCTATAGGCTCGTTTAATTAAGATATTCGCGCTCTCCCGTGATATAAATCAATCCTGCTGTAGGATTATTGGCAAATTAAAAAAATGTTATTTTAAATCCAATAATTTATTTTCTAAATATAAGCTGCATCGATTTGAGCTTTCTGGGAACTCCCTTCAGATTCTTAACACTTGATATTTGAAAAAAGATCTCAGGTAGACACAGTTGAAAAAAAAAGGGAGGCAAGCCAATCAGATCTCTCCATCTCCCTTTGGCCAATGACAGACGCCACATTGTTGTCAAATTTGTCTAATGAAAACGTAGGAGCAACAATAGAGAGAGGAGAGGGGGATCTGTATCCACTCACAATCTCTGGAGGAAGTTAGTGTCTCCAACCTCAACTCCCGGACAGTTTGAACTTTAGATCGAAGAGGAATGATCTCTTCTTCTGGCTCGCGCTCTTTTTGGATTTAAACCCGTCTGATTTTCGTCATTTTTTGTGTTTCTTCAGCTCTTTTGGACACTTAAAATCACACTTTTATGTCTGTTTAACTTCACCTGTTGCGCATGAAGAGCTAAGCACCTCGGAGCAGATGTGATCGAGCTCAGCGCCGCCTTAATTACAACTGATCGTTATTTTTCACGTCTTTAGTTGAGTTGAGTGAATTTTTTTTGGGTTACATCCGTGAGGAAGCGGACATGGATCTGAGACCGGAGCTCCCCACAGCGTCCTCTGCCTCTCAAGTCCACCAGAGCGCAGCGGCGGCGGCCGCAGCAGCCTCCATCCCGGTGTCCATGGCCGGCAACCTGCTGCGCGGCCCTCCGCTCCTTTTGCGAGCCACAGATAAGTACCCGCGCACACCGAAGTGCGCTCGCTGCAGGAACCACGGTGTGGTCTCTGCGCTGAAGGGCCACAAGCGCTACTGCCGCTGGAAGGACTGCATGTGCGCCAAATGCACGCTGATCGCGGAGAGGCAGCGGGTGATGGCGGCGCAGGTGGCGCTGCGGCGGCAGCAGGCGCAGGAGGAGAATGAAGCCCGGGAGCTGCAGCTCCTCTACGGCACCGCGGAAGGGCTGGCCCTGGCCGCCGCTAACGGAATCATCCCGCCGCGTCCGAACTACGAGGTGTTTGGGTCGGTTAACACCGAGAGCAATTCAGGTGAGACATGTGTTTTTGATCAGGTGGTGTTCAGGAAGACTTCCTCCACCAGGAGTGACTGAACTAAATGTGGTTTATTGATTTCATTATGACTTATTAAATCGTAATAATTATTTCCATTAAGATCCTTAATAATCTGACCTCTGTGATGTTTGTGTTAACAGACTCAAGCATCCAGAAGTATGAGCTCTTTCCTAAGGCCCAGCTGTCCGGGTCCACCACCCCGCAGAAGTCCGTGGGTAAACCGGCCTCCACTGAGGGCGACTCGGCCCCGGGAGTCTCGTCCCCTGATGGCCGGCACGGAGGAGGCTCCGGTTCGGAGAACGGAGACAGCGAGTCTTTCATCCACTCACCGGTGTCCAAGCCTCTAAAGGACGGGGAGGAAACCCCCGGCTCCGTCAGCTCTCTCGGCTCAGATTCCGGCTCAGAGACCGACAAAGATGAGCAGGAGCCCTCCCCTTCCTCCGCGGCCTCCCGCCACATGAACGCCATCGACATCCTGACCCGAGTGTTTCCGAGTCACAAGCGGAGCGTTCTGGAGCTCGTCCTGCAGGGCTGCGGCAAAGACGTGGTGCAGGCCATCGAGCAGATCCTAAACAACGGCGGCGCGCAAGGCCCCAACAAGACCGGACCAGAGGAGACGTGGACAGCGGAGAGGATGCTCCAGAGCGCGCAGCAGCAGCAGCCTCCACCTGCATCCGCAACAGCAGCAGCAGCCCAGACCAGGCCGATGCTCCCCGGAGCAATGACGCTAAGTAACCGCTCTGCATTTTCTCCTCTTCAGCCAAACGCGCCGCACTTCGCCGCAGACCCCGGCAGCTACCCGCTGGGCACGCACCTGGGACTAAACCCGCTGCGACTGGCCTACTCTGCGCACAGCCGTGGACTGGCTTTCATGACGCCCTACTCCACCACAGGGCTCATGCCCACCTTGGGCTTCAGACCCCCCATGGACTACGCCTTTAGCGACCTGATCCGGGACAGGACGATATTGCACAAGGAGCAAAGCTACGCCAGCGGCCTGTATGGGCCTCTAGTCAACAACACGCCGGACAAACAGTGAAATGTTGCTCTCAGAGACATTCCGTTCGTATTTGTAGCCACAGGTGTTGAGAATCCGTCATGTGTTTTTTGGCTGCACACACTTCTGTAAATATTAGGATTATCTGACTTGTAGTCAAAAAAAAAAAAAAAAAAAAAAGAAAGAAAAAAAGTTCTGAAGGTGGAATAAAACGCCATTATGTGTATCTTTAAAATAAAATTTATATGTCAGATTGGAAAATGTTTAAATGACTTTCCCCTGAAGATACAGCCATGAATTTGCGCCTTTTTGGCTCCAAATTAAACCCAAATCTAACAGCAAATTTAAACGTGAGTTCATGATAATACAGCAGATTCTTCATGTAAAATCGGATGGACTAATGTTGTATTTATCTCCTGGTTTAGACTTTTTAAAAGCTCACTAAACCTGTCTCCTACGGTGGTCAAAGACGGAAAATTAAGTTATTTTCCTGTTGTAAAACTAATAATGTATAAATGCCATTCATTGTTTCTATCATTTCTGTATCATTACTGGTTTTATTTGATTTGAACTAGTTTGTTTCCAGCCGTCTGTGTTGTAAATCACACCAAGATGAGATGCTATATTTGACCTCTCCGTATCCGTTAGTGCTGGACCAAGTCTTCAGATGTGCTGTCACAATGTATGAATATGCTGAAAATAAATGTTATTTTAAAAAAATGTGGCGCAGATGCATTATTTTTATAATTTAATTTATAATGGAATGCCTGAGGGAAATTAAAGAATCTAAAAACGATGTCCTGAATTTTAAACCTTTCAACTATTGATTCTTTTATTTTGAAACAATTAAGATGAAACAAAAAAAAACGTATAAAAATAAAAGAAATGTGTTATAATATATTTAACTTGTTTGGCTTTTTAGTGTATTTTGCTATAAATTATATTGAAATGATGCACATTAAAATAATTTAAATGAGATTAAACCAGATGATTTACCTAAGTTTCCTTTATATTTTCGTAGATATTAAATTATTTTCATCTAATAAAACAGTCTATTAATATCTTATTTCTGAAGGATTTCAATTTATATCTGTCACGATGAAACATTTTGCTTAAAATTAATATTGATAATAAATACATCTGCAATAGAATCACGTGCTAATTATCTGTTTTAATCTGGATATCTGAGACATTTGTCTAATCTATATCTATTTAGCCATCGATCGTTATTCCAGTAAAATCAGTAGCGAACAAAAAAAGCCAAACACTCAAAACTGCAGATTAAAAAAGAATTAAAAGAGCAAAAACAAAGCCTTCTTCGTTTTTATTTAAAAATTATATGTAATCATTAAGATTATTGGGTTGTAAAAAGCGATTTAGCAGCTGGACAAAGTGAGAAACTAATTTCCTTAAACGAACAAAAACAAAAACATTTTCTAATAATTTCTCATATGAACTTTGAAAGTTAGTTTATTTGGTTAACACTTGGTTCCGACTGGATTTAACCTGTCTGCTGACTGGACAGAGATGGACGGATGGATGGTCCTCAGGAGTTGCTCAGATGTTGCACCATTTTTAAAGAACAATGCTGCCATCTAGCGGCTACACTTTGTTAGGAAAATTCCCCAAACCGTTTGCGAACTGGAACCAGCTGACATTACTCTGAGGTGTGGTCCTCGAGGGCCACCAGGGCCAGATTAACGCTTTGTTGTACCCTGGGCAACAACATTCAAGGGCCCCATCATCACGACCCAAGGATCACCATAATATGGTCACATACAGAATATTTTACTGTAATATGCAGAAAATATACTCAATACTTGAATGCCTGACATTACGTAACCCACCCAGAGTAACCTTTGACCCACCTTGTGTGGACTGACCAATGAGGAGAGGGTCTTAACTTGAGGCCCTCTCTTCATTGTCAGTCTGCATTAGACTGACTCTCAACTGACGTTCAAAGTCATGGACAGCGAAGCGTCTGTGCAGTGCAAACGCCCGGGTGGACAGTTTGTTGAATATAGGGTGACCATATTTCCATTTCCAAACAAGAGCACAGGGGATCTGTGCCTATGACGTCACACTATGGCAACGCCACACTAACCACATTGGGACCCATTTGTTTGTAAGAACTAGATTAATATCAGATTCTGCCAATAAAAGGGCTCTAAAACAATTCATATGTAAATATTTAGCATATTTATTGCAAAATCTCATTTTTCTGCTTTAGTGCTGCGACAAGGTTTTATTAATAATAAATTATTAAACCTTTTGTTTTACTACAGCATCGGTAAGCTTCCTGTGCACAGATTATTAAGGATGCTTGTTTCAGCTGTGAGATTAGACGATAGAATCAATGAAAAAATAAGTTGTCCCACACTCCATGGAAACTTTCAGAGACTCCACAAGTAGTGGCTTTCAAACGGTTTTGTTACTTTTTGCAAGTTTAGAAAAGAAGCAGATGAGACAGCATGTCTGATAATTTAGTTTTTCATCTGATAATATTAGAACATGTCAGTAATGTCTGAGGGGCTTTTATAAACACCATATAACTAACACTACTGGAGAGGGTATGAATTACACAGAGGCCTCTGGGGAGCCCAGTTATGGGGGTGGGTGGGGGTGGGTGGGGTCATTTTGCCTTGGCCCCCAAAATGTCTTGAAACGGCCCTGGGTGTGTGACTGAGTTTTGAAGGTGATCTGAATTGTATCAGATGTATAAATATGACATGTGTATAACTTATTGTTTTATACAGGTAAAAACGTGTAGTGGAGATAAATCTACCTACATTTTACTTTTCAACACTTTGTTTAGTTTTCTTGTTTTTATTGAACTATTTCCTGTCCTGTCTGTCTCTCATCTTCCTGCATCTCCTCTAAGCTCTCAAGAAAAGCTGCTGCCTGGATTCTTACTTTTTCACCGCATCAGTTACTTTTGAGCAGATCAAAGGGATCTCCTGACCGCAAAGCGGAGTGCGCCTTTCGTTGCTGCGTCAGTGAGGTGAAATCACCTCAGCACAGGTGATGAGCTGTGCAGCAGCAGAGCGCTTCAGGCACAAGTAAGACAGAAAATAGAGAACATGTGCAGACATGAACGATCGTGTGCTAATTATAGTTTTTTGGTTGCGCCACTTTGAGAATGGACCGTGCGCTGGAAGCAGCTGCCTGGAGCGCTGCGCAAGAACGCTCTGTGCCGCTCTCTGTGCTCTCTGCTCAAAAGAGTCCAAAAAATGATGTAATATAGGTACAAAACTTGTTTCCGGCTCCCCTGGATGTGTAGGATAAACAGCTCCCCCATAATTCGATCCCTGCTCCTGGATGAAAAACTGGACATTTTCATCAATACAAGAACCCCCAGTCCGGACGCCCGGACAGAGAGTGAAAAGTGGACATGTCCGGGGAAAACCGGACATACGGTCACCCTAGTTTAGTATAATGCGGGAGATTACAGATATGCCTACAGTATTTTGCTCGTGCCCTTGCTGCCCTGGGCCCCTTGGAGTTCGTGGGCCCTGGGCAATTGCCCAGTTGCCCATATGGTTAATCCGGCCTTGGCCACCACCAAGCAGGTTTGAGCGGTTTCTCTCCTCCAACACACCTGATTTGAATCATTAACAGGTTCCTGATGAGCTGCACACGTGGAACAGATTTGGATTTTAAAACTCGCAGGAGGATTGGTCAAATATAAAGACAGAAGAAAAACGTCATCGCAGGTTATTTGTAATTATTCTCCTATTTTTAAGTCTGAAGACAGATAATTCTGTCAGATGTGAGTGAAATTGGAACAACACCGTCTGCATGGTGGAAGCTGCAGTGTGTCACACAGACAGCACCACTAGATGACAGCCTTGTCAAAGGATGACATCTTTATAACAATATAAACAAACAGCTATAACGCACATACAAACGACTTAAAACCCAACATTAATAGTAAGAATTACACAAAACAATCTGAATTTTCATTTTGTATTTAAACACCTCTCTCTCTCTCTCTCTCTCTCTCTCTCTCTCTCTCTCTCTCTCTCTCTCTCTCTCTCTCTCTCATGTGTGTGTTCTTTTAAATAATCAGTCATTTCAATACGTCTTAAAAACCTTTTTGAACAGGACCACACAGATTTCAACAGTGTTAAATGTTTCTCAGCTGAGGCGATTATGTTCTTGTTTTATACGGTGCAGTAGCACCCCCTGCTGGACACCTCTGTGTTGAGCACCAACTTAAAACGAAGCTGCAAGTTTTTGAGCTGCAATGAAGAAACTTAACTTATTGTTATTATTTACACAAACATACAACGGTCCATTTGACCATCTATTAAGATAATATTGGGGTCTCTAGGAATAAAAACATCAGATCAAAGACTCCAGTGAGAAGAGATTTGTAAATAAATAAATAAATAAATAAATAAATAATAAAATAAATAAATAAATAAAAATATAACAAGACCCAGAAAAATTCTTTTTGAATAAGAGAAAACTTTGGTTTGTTGTTGTGAATCTGTAACTGTTTCTGTTTCGGTTCCTTTTTCCTTTTGTTGACAGATGAATAATTAGACAAAAGCAGATAAATGGCCACAGGCTTCCAGAGTGGAGTGAGGGGGAGAGAAATGGAGGAAAATCCATTTACGTTATTACCCAATACATAAAATCTTTTTTCATTTTCAGAGACGCTGTTTGGCTGCTGTGAGAACAACAAATAGATAACAGCAAAACAAACCAAGACAAAAAAAAAAAACAATTGTGTGCATTGTGGATTGAATTTAGTGCCTTGACTAAGCTCAGTAAACTCATGGCAACACAGATAAACTAAATGGAAATGAAAGTTTTGTTTTTCTATGGTATGCACTAAAAGGTTTTATTGCTTTGCTGGCTTACCAACAGGGTTTCATCCGTGAGCTGCCAATGAAAATAACTGAAAACCTTGCCTGCATCTACACTATTACCAACTGTTTTACATAACAATGAAGCACCAGATAGATTAGTTTTAGTCAAATATTCATTCTTCCTTCTGCTGCCTAAAAATAAAGACCCAACGATCAGGTATAATGGTCAAACAAAATTAAATACAGCTTGTTGATTGGGGGCAAATTAAGATTTGGGAACTTCTTTGTGGTTCAAGTTATTTAAAATAATTTAGTTTACAAAGCTATCAAAATCAGTTAAAATGTTGATCTAATCTGCAGGAACAAGGCTCTTGTCATCGGTTTGTTTATGGTTTCTGTTGTGTCGTCTGTTGCATGTCACAGAATATCTATGACAAAATTTTACAGATTCACTTAATTTCTGCTGCAACTGGATGAATCAAGCAGTGGCAGGCTGTGTGTTTGGTACCTGGGCCTTCGGTGGGGCTTACTGACTTAATTAGTTTACCTGTGGTGACTTTTCACACATTCATCTGTAACTGTAAAGGTGGCTTTCCAGGAACGCTACTCAGCCTAAAACAGCTCTGTAGAGCGTGGTTTGAATCAGCCCATCTGAGTGTAGATTTGTTCCCATGCCAGCTCCATGACAGAAAGTGGGTACACCCTTCATAGGTGCAGGGTGCGTGTGTGTGTGTGTGAATTTTACTAGTGACAAAATAGCATGAAGGGATCAGTGAACGGTGTAAGGTCACCTGTGTGCTCCACAGAAACACAACTCTGCTGAAAAATGTGGGTGTCGCTGGACATTTTGCAGTTTTATGGCTTCTTGTCAGACTCTGAACCAGGAAATGGCTGCAGGCAGTGAAACAGAAGGCAAAAAACCCCGGAGCAGCCAGTGACTCTATCCCCTAGCCACTCAGCAGCCAGAATCACGATGCCAGCTCGACTCAGCCTTG